TTCAAGGTCACTGGAAGAAAAATTTCATAATTCCTGTCCGGTCCATATCTTTCTTAATAAACTTGGTAGGTTCTCATTTAACACAAAGATTGCCTATGACCCAAGGGTGTGTCATGACCTTGACCCAAGGTCATTTGGGGAAGTTCAAGGTCACTGGAAGAAAAATTTCATAATTCCTGTCCGGTCCATATCTTTCTTATCTATTTACGTTTTAATATTTCAATACAAACAAAGATTGCACATGACCCAACGGTGTGTCATGACCTTGACCCAAGGTCATTTGGGGATTTCACTGGAAGAAAAATTTCATTTCCTAAATTTTCTTATGGATAGCTTGGTAGGTTTTCATTTCACACGAAGATTGCCCATGACCCAGGGGTGTGTCATGACCTTGACCCTAGGTCATTTGGGGAAGTTCAAGGTCACTGGAAGAAAAAATTTTCATAATTCCTGTCCGGTCCATATCTTTCTTATGGATAAACTTGGTAGGTTCTCATTTCACACAAAGATTGCCCATGCCCCAAGGGTGTGTCATGACCTTGACCCAAGGTCATTTGGGGAAGTTCAAGGTCACTGAAAAATTTCATAATTTTTGTTTGATACATATCTTTATTATGGAAAAACGTACTTCTGAAAAACCCAGCGGGGGGTATTTTGTCCCGTTTGGACAGTTCTAGTTTTCATAAATATTTTTTTTATTAAAAAAATTAAATATTTATACACCATTTCTTTACATATTTTAATAGATATTCATATGATGCATTCACTTACAGCAAAATTTCAAGTCCAAAGCATTTAATTTGGATATAAATATTTTTTTCCTTTTCTTTAAAAAAATACAAAAAAATCATATAAAATAATTAAGTTATTATCAGCCTTTCAAATGCTGAAACCATACTTAATTAGGGATGTCTTAAAGATCTATGAAATAAAATCTTGGGGTACTCGTTGCATTCGACCTTAAATGTTTTAATTTTGGGGGGACATTTCTTTGATTTTGTTTCTTTCTGAGCTACATAATCTTTTTTATCTAATAAAATAAGTTGAATTGTAATTGATTTGATTTTGTTTATTTAAATTTTATCGTTCTAAATCAGAATAATATTGACTGGTATTTGGACTAAGAGTAATTTAACTGGATATTGATTACTGATTAGTGATTTATTTTCAAATTTTTGTGAAATTCAATATGTTATTTAATTTATTTTGGAAATTCCATTCATTATTGTTGCCCACTTTTGCAAAAATGAGATCACATTTATAAATCTCATTTGTCTATCAGTCTGTCACAAATATTTTAACCTAGCCTGGACATTACTTTAAAACAAGAAGAGATAGGATTTTCATATTTTACATGTACATTACCTGTGACAAGACCTTTCAAAATATACTATGAATCTTGACTCTGTGGTCTTGACCTTGAAGTTTGACATACTTTTCAAAAAAATAACATAAAATACTTTTGATTAGTCATAACTTTTGAAAGAGAAAAGATATCACTTTCATATTACACCTGTATATTATCTGTGACAATAACTTTCTAAATATACTATTTTTTAGATCCTGTAACCTTGACCTTCAAATTAGACATACTTTTCAAAAATGACATTTTCCCTTATAACTTTTAATGGAGAAAAGATAGCTAGGACTATCAAATTTGACATGTGAATTTCCTGTGACAAGATGTTTCTAAACATGCTTTGATTTTGGACCACTTGACCTTCATGTTTGACATAATTTTCCAAAAATTCAACTTTAGTTATTATTTTTGAAGGACATATGATGAGGCATTCATATTTGATACATTGAATATCCCATAAATATTAGTAATTGGATCCCACCTGAAAAGCAGGGACCAAAATTCTTTGAGTTTGCTTTTAATATATTTTTTCATCTGTGACATTTATTTATGTAATAGCTTCCCTGAAATTCTGTTGCTAACTTTGTAAACTTTTCAGTTTCATCTTCTTCTCAAGAACCACTGGTCAAATTTCAACCAACTTTGCCACAATTTATCGTTGGGTGAAGTGGATTTTCAGTTTTTTTCAATTGATTCTTCTTCCTCCAAGAGGAGGTTAATTGTTATGATTTTGTGAAAATGTAATGGTATCAACTAAAAATCTTTTTCTCAAGAACAGCTGTGCTTGAAAATATGAACCTTATGTGGAATCATTGTCAGGTAGTGTAGATTCAAAATTTGTTCAAATGATAACCCTAGGGGTTAAGATGGGACTACGAGGGGGAATCTAAGTTTTACATTGAAAACATAAGGGTAAAAAATCTTTAATTTTCTTTTCTCAAGAACAGCAAAGTCATGATTAGACATTTTGAGAGGGAAGCATATTCAGATAGTGTAGATTCAAGATAATGTTATAGTAATTTAAATTTGCTCAAATCATAACCGGGCTCCAGGAGAATAGATAGGTCATACCAGGGGATCAGAGTTTTACAAAGGAGTATAAAGTTTTTAGATAAAATTTTTATCTAAAGAACAGCAAAGCCATCATGTGTCAAATTAATTCGAACCTTAGGAAGTGGAGATTATAAGTTAATTTGTTAAAATCATACCTCCCCAAACTACTTTAATATCTAAACTTTGCATTACTGAACTGATTTCTGCTTTTTCTTAGCCAAAGTAAATTAACTTGGGTGAGCAATGTGGCCCCCTGGGACTCTTGTTTTCAAGTATATTTCATTTTGATTTTTTAGATGTTATTTTGACATTTTAGCAGGTATATTCAAAACAAACAGTTTATCATATTAAATCATGTATATGATATTTGTGATGTTAATCAAAGTGATACAATACATTTTGGGATGTGAAAAGTGAAATTCTGAAATCAGTGAAATATCTTGAGTTCAGTTCAAGTGATACATGTGAGTGAACTATTGAAGTGATTTACTACATTGGAAATTCAAATTCTGTCAAGGATTGTGTGTTCTTGGAAAAGATCATTATGGGGAGATGATATTTCAGAAGAAGCCAAGGACATCATCAATTAATTCTTCTAAAGCCTTGAAGTTAAACCCAAGGCAGATACACCTTAGGATCTTCAAACATGGCCACAAGGATTTGCTAGTACATGTTCTGGATCATTAACTAAAATACCAACAGTGAAAACTGAATCTGAAATTCAAACTGATGTTATAAAGCACTACCCAGGATTACCATAAATTTCAACTTTCTCCAGATCATCAAAATTAGAAACATCCTATGAACTATGGCATAAAGACGTACAGTGTCTTGCTAAAGAAAAAGTGTACAGAGATGACCAAATCCTACAAGCCATTCCAAGATCAGTGAAGGAGAAGCTGCTAATGTTTTCATGAGACTTGGTGTACTAGTGCAACCAATGACACTATTATTCTCAAGATGAACTTTATTTATTACCACGTAAGTGGAAATTTTAGCGAGACGCAAATCTAGCGATTTATTCTTAATACTGGTATTTTATTTCTAGCGTAGTAGTAGTTCAGAAGTAGTTTTAGCGATTTGAAAATGCTTACTTAAGAAGCTATTACAAATAAAACGCAATTAATTTTAGCGATACTCAATATTAGCGATGTCAGCACCTTCCCTAATAATGCCAAAATTAAATCCTCGCTAAAATATCTACTTATACAGTATGCGCCTTTCAAAGAAGGGAGGGCATATTGCTTTGCTGCTGTCTGTCTGTTGGTTGGTCAGTCAATCTGTCGGTCCACATTAGTTTCTGCTCATTTTCTTTGCATAGATTGCACATACTGAAATGACATTTTTATAGGTCAAGTTCTTTTTGGGTACAATTGAGCAATTTTTGACAGAGTTATGCCCTTTGGACTTAAAATTTTCAATCATTTACTTTCCTTGTGCACCCTATAATTTATTTCTGGGGGTGGGGGGATATAAGTGTTTCACAAATACCCCCAGATATGTCTTGTTTTGATACAATTGAAAGCAGCCAAAGAGTACCGGTACATGTATATTCTGTATTAGGAAAATTCTACAATGCAGAACAAGGACCAAATGAGACTGTATCAGAGTGGGGTTGTCGGCTTGAAAACATTGTCAATAAAACGGTCCTCCGAGAAGAAGGAGCAGTGAAAAAGAGGATGACATGCTGTGTCACAATGCTTTCTGTCTGAGAAGCTAGGACTTTGACCTGATTTGAAGGATGCATTGGTATACGTACATGACAAATTTCTATCCTTTGATGAACTGAGATCAGGACTGCGAGCTATTGTAGGGGATCATGATCATATAAAATAAACACGTTAAAGGAAGTAAGGTTTCAAATGTGATGAGTGCGATACATAAAGACAAGCCTACATCTAAAATGGATGAAGTCAAACAAACGTTACAGACAAGCTGATCGACAGCTGAGGTACAACAACTGAAGGATGAGAGATACAGCAGACCACAACAGTTAATTAGGAAAGATAACTACAGTGGAGATGAAGGGAATTCATATTATGGACAGTCTGCACCTTATTAACTTAAGTTTAGATCTAAAGGACAAGGAACATACTGAGGTCAAGATTCAAAAAGAGGTGATGGATTATTAAGAGGTCAAAGTTTATACAGAGGTCAAGTAGGAAGTTATAACACACAACTCCAAGGAAGTTAACCTAACCCAGTTGGAATAAATGGTTTACCCATGGTTAAGAAAGGACGTATCCAGTCTGGATGCAGGATAAAGACAGCTAGACCATATGAAACAAATTTAAAACTTGCCATGGCTGGCATTGAGAGACAAACACTAGGGCGGGATCATGGAACAAAGAATAATGGAGGATTGCTCAGAGAATTTTCATCTCAACATCAGCGTTACATCTATTTGAATGATTTATTAATATTTTCAAGAACATTTGAAGAACATGTAGAGATCAAGATTAGAAAAGGTATTCCAATACCTCAGGGAAAAACAAATTTAAACTTTCATCTAAGAATTTTTTCAAGGACAGAGTGAAATACATAGAATGTGGTTTTGAAAGACGGGATAGAACAAGATTTAGATAAGATGGATAAAGTCCTGAACAGGCTCAGACCAACTAAGGTAGATGAAGTTTATAGGCTATTACCACTGCTTCATCAAAGACTTCAGAAAGATAACAAAGCCATTTAACGAACTTGCATGCTAGTAAGCATATAGATATTGTTATTCAAGCATGTATGTAAAAATTAAATGCATGAACATATAATGCTGTGATCAAATTATAAATTGAGGAGCAGTATTTTGTGATGTTTAAAGTTTTTCCCCTTATAATTTTAAAATACATTTCTTTTGCAAAAATATGCAATTCTGCTAAAAGGTAAAAATAATTTAAGTAAAACGAAGAGAATAAAATATTTCATAATAATTTTGGATAGTGTTTTAATAATCTTATTTTAGATAAGTCAGAGTGGGGAGTGTGGGAGAGAATAGGAGTGGGACAGAGAGAGAAGGGGAGTAGGGAGAGTGGGAGAGAGAGAAAGAGGGAGTGGAGAGTGGGGGAGAAAGAGTGGAGAGTGGGGGAGAGAGGGAGTGGAGAGTGGGAGAGAGAGGAAGAGAGGGGAGAATGAGAGAGAGGGAGTTGGGGAGATAGGGGAGATAGGGAGTGGAAGAGAGAGGGAGCCAGGAGAGAGAGAGAAAGGGAAGGGAGGGAGTGGTAGAGAGGGAATGGGGAGAGAGGTAGTGGGGAGGGAGAGAGTGAGAGAGAAAGTGGGGAGAATGGGAGAGAGGGAGTGGGGTGAGAGCAAGTGGCGAGAAAGAGGGAGTGGGCAGAATGAGAGAGGGTGGGAGAGAGACGGGGAGTGGGAGTGGGGAGGATGAGAGAGGGTGGAGAGAATGGGAGAGAGAGAGAGAGAGTGGGGAGATTAGGAGTGAACGTGAGAGGGAGCCAGGAGAGAGTGGGAAGGGAGGGAGTGGAGAGTAAGAGAGAGAGAGAGGAAGAGTGGGAGAGATAGGGAGTGGAAGAGAGAGGGAGCCAGGAGAGAGAGTGGGAAGGCAAGGAGAGGAAACGAGGGGGTGGGGAGAGAGGGTGAGTTGTTGAGGGAGTAATGTAAGAGATGGAGTGTGGAGAGAAAGAGGATGGGGAGAGAAAGGGGGAGTAGGAGAATGTGATAGGGGTGAGAGAGGGAGTGGAAGAGAAGAGTGGGGAGAGAAAGGGAGAGAGAGGAAGATGGGAATGAGAGAAGTGGGAGTGAGGAGAGAGAGAGTGAGAGAGAAGTGGGAGTGGGGAGAATGAGAGAGGGTGGGGAGAATGGGAGAGAGAGAGAGTGGGGAGATAGGGAGTGGATGTGAGGGAGCCAGGAGGGTGGGAATGGAGTTATTGGGGAGAGAGGGGGAGTGGGAGAAAAAGAGAGAGAGAGAGAGTGGGAATTGGGAGAGTTAGGAGAGGGAGTGAGGAGAGAGAGGAGTGAGGAGTGAGGAGGGAGTTGGGAGAGAGTGGGAGTGAGGAGAAAGAGAATGGGGAGAGAGAGGGAGTGGGGAAAGAGGGGGAGAGGGAGTGGAAGAGAGAAGGTAAGGAGAGTGGAAGAGAGGTAGTGGGGAGAATGAGAGAGGGTGGGGAGAATAGGAGAGAGAGGGAGTAAGGAGAGAGGGTGAGTTGAGCGAGGAATGGAAGAGAGGGAGTGAGAGAAGTGGGAGTGTGGAGGGAGAGAGAAGTGGGAGTGTGGAGGGAGAGAGGAGTGGGAGTGGGGAGAATGAGAGGGTGGGGAGAATGGGGGAGAGAGTGGGGAGATAGGGAGTGGACGTGAGAGGGAGCCAGGAGAGTGGGAAGGGAGTGATTGGGGAGAGAGGGGGAGTGAGAGAAAAAGGGAGAGAGATAGGGAGTGAGGAGAGGGGGAGTGGGTAGAGTGGGAATTGCGAGAGAGTGGGGAGGGAGAGGGGTGAGGAGTGAGAAAGAGAAAGGGAGTTGGGAGAGAGTGGGAGTGAGGAGAGAGTGAGAGAGAGAGAGAGAATGGGGAGAGAGAGGGAGTGGGGAAAGAGGGGGAGAGGGTGAGGAGAGAGTAGGAGAGAGGTAGTGGGGAGAATAAGAGGTAGGGAGAGAGGTTGAATTGTTGAGGGAGGAAAGAGTGGGGAGAGAGGAGTAGGGAGAGTGTGATTGGGGTGAGAGAGGGAATGGAAGAGAGGAGTGGGGAGAGAAAGGAAGAGAGAGGAAGTTGGGGGAGAGAGTGGGGAGTGAAAGGGAGTGAGGCAAGAGAGAGAGAGAAGTGGGAGTGGGGAGAATGAGAGAGGATGGGGAGAATGGGAGAGAGGGAGATAGGGAGTGGACGTGAGAGGGAGCCAGGAGAGAGTGGGAAGGAAGGGAGTGGGGAGAGAAAAAAGGGAGAGAGTGGGAATTGGGAGAGAGTGAGGAGGGAGAGTGAGAATTAGGAGAGAGAGAGGAGTGAGAAAGAGAGGAATGAGGAGGGAGTTGGGAGAGAGTGAGAGAGAGAGAGAGGGAGTGGAAGAGAGAGGGTGAGGAGAGAGTGAGAGAGAAGTGGGAAGAATGAGTTGGGAGAGGGAAGAAGAATGTTGTGAGAGAGTATGTAGAATTAGGGAGTGGAGGGAGAGTTGGTGAGATAGGGAGTGGGAGAAAGGGAATGAGAGAGGGAGTGGGGAGAGTTGGAGAGGGAGTAGAGAGAATGGGAGAGTGAGGGAATGGGGAGAGGAAAGGAGTGGGGGAGAGATGGGAGTAGGGATTGGGGAGAATGGGAAAGAGTGGGAGAGAGGGAAAGGGATTTGGGAGAGTGGGAGAAAGGAGTGGAGAGAGGAGTAGGGAGTGAGAAAAATAACAGAGTGGGGGAGAGAGAAATAGAGTGGGGAGAGAGGGTGGGGAGAGTGGGAGACAGAGGGAGTGGGGAGAGCGAGGGAGATAGAGAGAGAGAGGGGGAGAGAGAGAGGGGAGGAAGTAGGGAGAAAAAGTTAGAGAGTTGAAGAGTAAGGAAAAGGGGGGGAGTCAAGAGAATGGGAAGTTTGGAGAGTAGGAGAAAAATGAAGAGAGAGGGAGTGAGGAGAGTGGAAGAGAGAGGGAGTAGGGAGAGTGAGAGATGACGTGGGAAGAGAGAGTGAGTTGGGAGACAGGGGGAGTGGTGAGAGAGAGTGTGTAGGGAGAGTGGGAGAGAGAGGGAGTGGGGAGATGGGTGACAGAGGGAGAGGGGAACATTGGAGAAAGGGAGAGAGTGGGAAAAAGAGTGAGAGAGAGAGAGAGGGAAGAGAGAGAGAGAGAGTGATGGGGTGGGAGGGTAAGGTTAGTGAAATAAGAAGGGAGGAGTTGGATGGTCAAGGAGGGTAATGTTGGGAGAAAATGGGGGGGGGGTGGGTGAGAGAGGGAGGGTTGGGAGGGGAGTGGAGGTGAGAGGGAGGAGGTTAAGGATGGGCAGGAGAGAGTGAGAAGAACAGTTGGAGAGGGATATGGTTGGGAAGGGATAAGGAGTGTGGTTATGAATTGGAAGGGATAAGGGTGGAAGGGGTGGGATAGAATGGGAGTGTATGGTTGGGAAGGGATGGGGTGTTATGAATTGGAAGGGATGGGTGGAAATAGGATTTATGGGTGGGGCGGGAAGGGATGGAATAGGATGGTAAGATTCATAAAGGATAAGGGTTGGGAATGCAGAAGGAGGGTAGGGGTGGACGGAAATTAGTGTAAGGTACAAGTAATGGGAGGGAAGGGATGGAATGTGATGGAATAGGATGGTTGGGTTCGGAAAGGATAAGGGTTGGGAATGGAGAAGGAGGGTAGGGTGGACGGGAATTAGTGTAAGGTACTAGTAATAAGAGGGAAGGGTTGGAAGAGGAGGGAGGGTAAGATTTGGAGGGGGGTAAGGTTGGTTAAACAGGAGGTAACGGATTGATTAGGAAGCAGGGAAATGTTAGGAGGAAATAAAGGTGGGAAAATGGGAGGGAGGTTAGGGATTGGAAGGGATAAGGGTGGGGAAATGGGGAGGAAAGTCAGGGGTGGTGTAGGGAAATAGATAATGGGGGAAATGAAGAGGATACGGGAGGGTTAGGGAAATTGGGGTAGAAAGGGATTGGATAGGGAGTGTAGGGTAAGGGTTGGAGTATTGGGTTGTATGGTTAAGGTGGAAAAGGATAAGGGGTGGAAAATGGGGAAGGTAGGAATGGGGGAATGGGAGGAAGGGTGGGAGTGGATAAAGGGTGGAGAATGTGGAAGGGGGTTGGGTGGATGGCATTAGAGTAATTGAGAATTGGAAGTGAATTCGATTTATGAATCCAAAATCCTATGGCATGAATCAAGTATATACTGACAAAACGTCAGAGATACTCAAGCTGAAGAAAGTCAAATAGGAAGTGCCATTAAATAATATCCTAAAATGGTATAAGATGAGGGCTATTAAGTTCCATCTTCTGTTGAATAAAATGCATGTACATGAAACAAAATTCATACATTGAATTTAATTAAAATAAATATAATTAATCACACTACTTTTCTAAGATGAATTTACATAACACACTTTCAGGAATATTTTCTAGACAATAGTTGCCGTTTCTTAATTTAAGGAAATATTTTTATGTAGACATTTAATATACTTCAAACTATGTACGTTTTTTTGTATTTTTTGCTTAATGACGTACATCACAATATTTAATATACTAGTTTATCAATCCAAATAGCTTGTTACAAGCCTGCAGAAGTTTTTCAATGGGGGGGGGCTGCGGGCTCCAAATAATCCACGTGACTATGGATTTATCTTGCTGTGCGGCATGTCCAATACATATTCCGTATGAATCCAAAAGAAGTTATATAGGTTCCGTTACCAGAGCTGATGATAATACTATATTTTAAAATTAAACCAGAAGTCTCTGTCAAGACTGTAGCTCTACTGGTTTGCACTTATACTTAAGGAAGAGAAAAGTAGCAGTTGGGACTTTATGAATATGAATCTTACTTTACAAAAGCAATAAATAGAATAATGATCCTTGATGAAGTCTCTTTTTGTGGCAATATTGCAATAAGACTACAACTGTAGGAGTAGCTTTTAATAAAATTTTACAGAATTTCAATTTAAATTACTATGGCAACATCAATCATCAAAATCAAAAACACAAAACTGATAATTATGTCTGTCAGTGTACTCTACTTGCATGCCAAATTATATGATAATCAGACACAAACTGTATTTGGAGTAGCATTTCACAGAAATTTCTATTTTTAGTAACCACTGCTACACCATTCATCAAAAATTAATCAAAAATGACAAAAAGAATTATGTATATTAGTGTAATCTACTTATGTGCCAACTTATATGGAAACCAGACCAAAACTGTATGAGGAGTAGCATTTTGAATGTTTTTCACGGAAATTTCTATTTTTAGTAACCACGGCAACACCGTTCATCGAAATCAAAAACCGATAAACAGAATTATGTATCTTAGTGTAGTCTACTTGTATGCCAAGTTTTATGGAAATCAGACCAAAACTGTAGGAGGAGTAGAATTTTGAATGTTTTTCACAGAAATTTCTATTTTTAGTAACCATGGCAACACCGTTCATCAAAAGCAAAAACTGATAAGCAGAATTCTGTATCTTAGCGTAGTCTACTTGTGTGCCAAGTTATATGGAAATCAGACTAAAACTGTAAGAGGAGTAGCATTTTGAATGTATTTCACAGAAATTTCTGTTTTTAGTAAGCACGGCAACACTGTTCAATGAAATCAAAAACTGATGTACAGAATTATGTATCTTAGTGTATTCTACTTGTGTGCCAGTTATATACTGAAATCAGACCAAAACTGTAGGAGGAGTAGCATTTTGAATGTTTTTCACAGAAATTTCTTTGTTTAGTAACCAAGGCAACATGGTTCATTGAAATCAAAAACCGATATATAGAATTATGAATCTTAGTATAGTCTACATTTGTGTCAAGTTATATTGAAATCAGACCAAAAAATTTAGGAGGAGTAGCATTTTGAAAGTATTTCACAGAAATTTCTATTTTTCGTAAGCACGGCAACACTGTTCAATGAAATCAAAACCGATATATAGAATTATGAATCTTAGCATAGGCTACATTTGTGTCAAGTTATATTGAAATCAGACCAAAAACTGTAGGAGGAGTAGCATTTTGAAAGTATTTCACAGAAATTTCTATTTTTAGTAAGCATGGCAAAACTGTTCAATGAAATCAAAAACCGATATACAGAATTATGTATCTTAGTGTAGTCTACTTGTGTGCCAAGTTATATTGAAATCAGAGCAAAACTGTAGGAGGAGTAGCTTTTTGAATGTTTTTCACAGAAATTTCTATTTTTAGTAACCATGGCTACACCGTTCATCGAAATCAAAAACCGATAAACAGAATTATGTTTCTTAGTGTATTCTACTTGTGTGCTAAGTTATATTGAAATCAGACCAAAACTGTAGGAGGAGTAGCATTTTGAAAAATTGTTTACAGACAGACAGACAGACGGACAGACAACGGACGCATTACTATCGCATAAGCTCTACTGGTCAGACGTATAAGAGAGAATTTAACTAATTTATTTTGTGTTAAATTTTGTGCTATTATTTTATTGTCACTCAAAGTACACATCATTTGCAGGCCAGTGACAAGCAATATCAGTTTGGGGGGCACATACATTTTCTGACCATGCATTGTAGAATTTGTTATTGATGGGGTAACCTGCTTCACCTTTCAGAGTAACCAGTGGACTCATCCAAGGATGCTTTGTTGGCCACCGAAACATCAGCGACTGAAAGTTACCTGAGATTCCTACACAGAGGAAAGCGCGATATCTCTGTATAGAAACTGTGGCGGCTGCGGAGCTTCACTCATTGTTCATTCGCCATAGAATAGAATCCGACTTTTAACACTTTTAAAATATCTATCAATATACGGACGTTTTCAAGATAAGCTTCATTTATGTTTCTAGAAATATTTTTATCTACAAAAATATATTTTCGTGTTTTTAAACTGAGTAAATCAATGACCTAGCATCGTTTTAGATAACTCAAGCCCCTCTAGGGCTTGATTAAAAATGATGGAGAATTCCTTGTGTGGAAATTTAGTGGAGAATCCATTGAAAAATGGTCAACAATTGGATGTTTTGTAAAATGTTCAGTGGTAAGACAAATGATGGAGAATGCTCTGAAAATTATAGAAGAGTCCAGTTATATAAAAAAAATTGTGGAGAATCCAAAAGTATGAAAATTGTTTTGAGAATACATTGGGATTTATGTTTTATTTTGAATGTGATTTTATAAACATCACCAGTTTATAGAATCTGATTCGTATATAAAGTATTGGGCATATAAAAATGTTCCAAGAACTATGTCTCGACCATAAATATGTCATAGCTTCAACCAATCAAAAGGTATGTTATAGCTTCTACCAATCAAAAGATATGTTATAGCTTCTATGGATCAAATATTATGTCATAGCTTCTACCAATCAAAATGGTATGTCGTAGCTTTACCAATCAAAGCTGTCATAGCTCTACCAAACACAATGGTATGTCATAGATTCAACCTATCAAAAGGTATGAGCAAGTGTGGCAGAGTGAATCATATATCATTAAAAAAACAAACCATAATATTATTTATTATTTTCAAAGGCTATGTGTGTTACGACATTGTATTATTTATTTGTATTTGTATATATTTCAGATATGCCATTGCTTTTTAGGTCACCTGAGTAAACTCAGGCCAGGATTTATTTTATTATCAGTTTTACAAACCCTCCGCTCAAGGTTTTGAATTTTCAGAAAAAGTAAAAAAATTTTTCTTTCCGATGTCAAATTTGAGTTTTTACGAACTCCGTCGTCGTGCGTCCTCCGTCGGCTAAAACGTAGCACATGTAGGACATTCCCTTTCAATGATAAAAATAAAAATAGCATTTTTAGATACTTTTGGGGTATAGAATAAAAGCTAAAGTTTACAATGATATGCAGCAAGGTGCATTTCAAGCAAAAATTATGCCTAGAAATATGAATTGAAAAGAGCATTCATTTGGTTTTTTTACACTTTTTTTTGCCAAGCGAGAGCTATCCTGAGGTCATGACGTCAGAAGTTTATTGATAACGGAATTCCACATTCAACACCTCTATTTCAACCAAATTTGGCACAAAATATAAGTCATATGTAAGCTAATTGTGGTGAAGGGGAACAAAAATTGACAATGAAATTTTGACAGGAGGTGGGTTATCATTTTGAATTAGTTTCCATTTTAAAATTTTTTTTTTTTTAAATTAAAATTTTTTGAGTAATTGAAAAAAAATTTAAATTATGCCCCCAATATTTCTTGATATGCTTTCCCATTGATTTCCCCCACCCAAAATAAGGCGCAATAAGAAGGTGGTGATTGGGCCAATATTTACAATAACATGTGCATGGATTTATTTTGCAGGAAAACACGTGGAAATGGGATTCAGGCTTTGCCCGACTCATAATTGCACATGCAGGCAGAGGTTGTGTATTGGAGTTTATAATTTCAGGTGAGTGGAAATTAAATTATGTTGTGTAAAAATATGTACTTTTCACTAAAATAGAAATGGGGGTTGATGGGTTTGTCATTTCAAGGAAGGGGGGGGGGTGGATATAGTTTGTAGTTTTTGACAAAAACATTGATCAATATGTAAGTATGTATGGATGTATGTACATGTGTGCGTATGTGTATGATGTGTCTTATGTATTTATGTGGAAGTTTTGGGTTGTGGCCTGGTGTTAATTTTTACACGTTTCTTATACGACTTTGTATAGTAGGTATCTTTTCGAATAATTTTTTTGGCCCTGAGAAGGGCCGTTTTGTCTTCGTCTTGGCAACTCATGTCTGGTAGTAGGTGTGATCCTCTGGATTGCCTCCCTTGGACTGAAGGCTGGTGGGTTTGGGATCAAGTTGCCCTTTGTTGTAGGTGCATCCGGGTTTGGTCTTTCCTTTTCTAGCCGCCGCATGTTGTTTCATTAGCGTAGCTTTTCTCTGCATTTCTCGCCTTTTAACGGCTTTTCTCTTTCTGTTTTCTCTGCGATAGGCATATTCCTGGTCAATGCTTTTTAGGTACTGATGTGTGTGGCCAGACAGTGGCAATGTAATCTCTGCTGCTTTCATTGATGTTGCTAGTCCCGGACTGTTGTTTTGTCTTAAAATCTCAGCTGAGAGGATTCCTTCAGCATTTCTTGAATAGTTGGTGTGCTTAGGCAAAACTTCGCTGACTGCTCTGTTAAGACCCTCACATTTCTGAGTTGACGTGTTGAGTTTCATTTCCTCAATGGCACTTTGGCTAAGTCGCATCTCAAGAATGACTTTTAACAAGTGCTTGTCATTTTCATTCAGGTGCAGGGATGTCAGTTTGTTCGGGGCGAGGATATAAGACTGATTCTACCAGTTGTGTCTGTCTCCACCTTCACACACCACTGAATTCCTTCGACATTTTGAACAGTCTCCTGAGTAGCAGAGGATGGTACTTTCTACGACAAGAGGAAGTTTACTACAGATTATGTTGATGTCTGCAGTGTAGGTATCCATGAGTTTCTTATAGACTAAGCTGCACCGGGCCTTTACATCTTGTGCAAAAACTTTTCTCATGTGGTCTAACCTCATTCTTGTTTTGCAGGGAAACATCTCGGGGCTGAAGTGGGCACTGCGACACTGCCGGAACTGGGCTCTGCTGACATGGGTTGGGTCGGCCAGTCGAGTGACTTGCCAGTCTGGATGAAAAATTCGCATGGCATCTTGGAATCCCTGGGCTGACCGAGCATCACCGTCTATTG